TGCTTCCTTTGTAGGTCGTCTGATGGATGATAGCTACGAGGTCTTCATATGGTCTGTGATCTTTGAATGCTCGGATTAGGACTGCTTTTGTGGACAACCAATTCACAGTTTTTTCTTCGGAAATGACGGCTTTGTCGGTGTTCTCGATGGTCCGTTCGATGGCTCCATAAATTATGTGAACTTGTCGGGCATCTTGGTTTGGATATAGCTGTAGTAGATATTCGACACGACCAATGTAACCACCTGATCCGCGGGATTGCCATCGAAGTAGGGCAACTCCTTAATTTAAATGATTAGTTGGTTCAAATGGATCTCCGATAATTGGATTGGGTTTGCCATTCTGGTTTTGTTACAGTTTCAATATTTCACTTTAAATTATTTATTAAAGCGATATTGACCGAATTGAATTCACTTTAAATTTTAGTGGTATTGATTTATTCGTACTGGTCATTCCTAAGAATAGTTTAAACCGACGTTTAACTTTTCACTTGAAATCCTACCGGCTGCGCCAATTAAATATTCGTACTATAAGTTTTACATAAAAACCAACTTTATTTAATTTTATTTATCAACTAGTACAATTGTTATTTGGAAGAACACGTCCTAATTGTTTTAGGTCTCAAACTGAATTCCATCGCCAACTCATACTTCTTTTACGATCAAACCTCAGTTTTGAGCTTTGGAGCTTTTTAATGAGTGATTTTAATGTTTATTGAGTGGCTTTCAGATTTGTACTTTGGACCAAGACAGTTCTTTGTTCCGATCTTGTTTACGACTTGGGTCCCGAAATCTGAGTATCCCGAATTGTGAGAACGTGCCTAAAGTCTTGACAGTGGCTCGTTTGTTTAGTCTATAGTTTGGAGTTTTTTAATAACATTGAAATTTCCCGTAAGTGTGTTGACAATTAGATATGGATTCAAATTCTTTGAGGGTGTCTTTGTTTACAATAAGATATGAATTCGAGTTTCTTTGAGGGTGTGTAGACATGTACATAGGGATTCATGGTGGTATGGATATGTCACTATATAATAAATATATATATATATATTTAAATATATATATATATATGGGACGTCTCACGTCAACCGGCCCAGAGCTCTACCCAAAATTCTACTGAACGAAAATGGACTTATTATAGCTTAAAATTTTCGCCAATTCATACCCTTTCGAATGAAAAGTGGCGTTTTGAAAAATTCAAAATGACGTCCTTACTGTGACTCTAAATGCACAAGTATTTGTGAACTTGGCAAACAAATATATTAAATACTTTATAAAAAACAGTATATCTCGATGGATAATGACTGATTCTTATAGTTTTGAGGTTGCTGATTACGAATCTGAAGTCAGATTTTTAAAATTCAAAATGGCGGATCAATTTTTTAAAAGTTAATGATGGCGATGTGGCAAAAAAGCACTACAAAAGTACACAATATTTTTATTACAATAAAAAGCAGCATGAAAGAGTTCAGCGATCTCTGTCAAAAAGATTTTCACTAGCATCTGCTGTGACTAAAATTCAAAGTTCTCATTGTTTTAAAGTTCCTTCGGAAAAAAATTAGAAATATACAGGTATTCAAATGCACCAAAACCAACTGCAGTTATCCAATACAAGTGAATTCGGTAAGATGCGCGCTTAAAGGGTGTGTTTTTAGCGGATCGGCAGAACATCGCCATCCCCGCATAACCCTGAAGCATGGCTACAGGGTGCCTGAGAGCAGGTTTTCACATCCTATGCAAAAAAAAAAAATAAATAAATAAATGTATCCGCCATATTGGATCCGCCATTTTGAATTTTAAAAATCTGACTTCAGATTCGTTATCAGCGACTCCAAAAACCCCCGAGTTATGAATTTCAAGTGAATTCATTAGCTTTTAAAAAATTGATCCGCCATATTGGATCCGCCATTTTGATGTGTTTTGGCATGTTTGGAAGGCAATTGTTGAATTTGTAAAGTAAATTTTATAATAATAAATTCGCCAATGCAGAGACTCCGGGTCAAGTTTTGAAGGATTTGAGAATCCTGGGCATAGGAAAATAAAATGCAGTGGCTAAGTCGAACCTTGATTTCTCTTCAAGTGCAATAAACCTCATCCGAACATATCTCACAAGCAGTGCTATATGTAAATGATCTCCCTAAATGTATTTCTGTTTGTGATGTGCACCTATATGCATATGATGTCCAGTTATATGTTAGCCGTCCCCTAAGTCGAATTAGTGAGTTATTAGAAGTGCTAATTCAATGAAATTAAATAAATAAATGATTGGGCTGATGCGAACGGGTTAAGACTCAATCCATCCAAATCAAAGTGCATTCTAATTCATAAAAAATCAATTGACTTTAGCTGTCTTCCAAAGATTGAGGTAAAATATGTTGAAATAGAATTTGTTAAACGAGTCACAAATCTGGGAATAGAATTTAATTCCACCTTAACGTGGGATGACCATGTGAACATAGCCACAGGAAAAGCATATGGCAATATAATCCAATATAATTCAAGATATTGGTACAATTAAAATCTAAAATTATCATTAAAAAAATGTGGATTTTTATATTTGTTCCATTTACTTTTACAAAATTATAAAAAGTATTTTATAATTTATTACTTGTTTAAAGACAATTAAAATAACACTGCGAATCATTAAAAAATAAATCAACCAAAGATCACTAAACATGACATTTAAAACAAGTGTTCTAAAAGCCTGCATCGTTCCACGAGGCACACAAGTATTATTTAGTTATTTTCTTTATTGACTACTACTACTTTATTGCTATACTAGTTCTAAGGGCACCTGTGAAACCAATAATTGTAAAGCTTAAGAGTTGCCATTTACTTCGCGCCTTGATCAACGTCACCAGACCGCAAGACCTTGCCAGATCGCGACGCTGTCAAACCGCCACGTTGACAGACCACTATCGATAGTCGTAGTGGGTACTCGATACTTGAAGGGGTGGCAACCTAGAAAGAACCGATGACGGGCAACGACCGCGATCCTTCGCTCTATTGGTTCCCGGTCAGCGAAAGGGAGCAGACGTGTGCTCCGGAATTTGGAAAAGTAAAATCCTAAACTTTTAGTGCAAAATTATAATCGTCTATACTACATTTCTCTTCACTAAGAGAATTATAAAACCTATCAATGCTAGGAAACTGGGTCTCATAAAATTTCTCTGAGATATCTATTTAGTCGTAACACATTCTTCCTCCTTATTTACTTAAATTATTTACCAAATTTTTTTCTAAGAATTTTAAATTCTTTGTTTTCCACATAGCTCGCTAGTTTTTCCAAGCTTGAGTTTAAAAATCTAACTGAATCTATGTATTTAATTTTATAACTACTTGAACCGTTGATACTTATTGTCTGCGTTAGTGCTATATAAAGTTATTTATTACAAGGTATTGGACTTAATTTCCCCTCTAGTTTTTTAATGAGCAAATGTAGATCATATTTAGATAAATTGTGAAAAACTACTGGAAAGATTGGATTACTTAACTTGTCTTAGGCTTAAAATTCTTATAAATAGGACCCACGTATTTTCCAGTAAATTGGTTGAAGATTTCATCTAGATCATTGGCATTTATTTCCATTGAACATCGATGGGGCTGACACTCGGGCTCTTGGGGGATGACCAATATATGTTGTACAGACTCAAAGTTTTTCGTTTGAGAGCTATACAAAATGTTTGCATGCATGTATTATCAATACATTTTAATAAACAAAAATTTTAATATAATTGTTTCTATTTATCTTCGTATGTCCAGTCGTTTAGACTTCGATGATTTGTGTACTTCTGATGTCGACGAAGAAGATAGTGAATTCAGGCATGTTTTGTAACTTTCTAGAACAGCCTCAATATCGGCATATATCACCACCGGTGGAGATAATTAATTGTTCTCTAAGCAATTGCCTAAGCACAACTTTCTTGGATCCCCAAGCGAATTGAATATTCGCTGGCAATAAGTCTCAATGCTTAAAATTGGCTCATTCCGCGCATAATTGGTCCTCGCAGCACTTTCGTTAAATGGGACGACGGTACGGAAACTCCTGGCTGGGACGTTAAATTTAATTGAGTTTAATAGGAAGCGACTATCAATATTACCAATTATTACACCATTGATAAAGAGCAGGCTCGCTATCGATCGCCTATCTACAAGACTGCAAGTATGCAGTAGGCAACATTGGCTAATATACGCTGGCAAAGGTTCCGAAAATTGTATTAATATGCACAACATCTGAAGGGTTCCACATAGAGGAAGCATGTTTCACCCTTGAGTATGGGTCCCTTAACAGTACAGCGTTTCTAAGGCTCAGGATAAAACTAGGCCACTTTTCAGCATTCAAGTTTGTTGTAAGTAGTGTTTTAAACGTGATACCACGGACTTCCACAAAAGTATCCTCTCGATTTTGCTTTGGAAAATTGTGACGAACATAATCTAAACACATTTGTAATATAAGCATAGTGCATCATATTTTGGTTTATATTGTCGATGTCCTATATATTTATATGGTTTGGTCTTCTAATTTCCGAAAAGTTCCGTCATAATAAAAATTTTGTCACTGATGTTAATGTTATCGTTTTGTAATTTTTTCTCTAGAATATTTCCTTTGTTGCGGTGTTGCGAAACTATCCTTCTCAAGGCCTTTATTTTGCACGTTTATAAGCGCATTTTGGGCTCTTATTTTTTTTAGGATCCTGTTTGTAACCACTAGCAGGAATATTTTCGAGTTTTATAATGGTGGTTTCAAAATAGTCAAAGTTTTGAATATGCCAGCCAGAGTCTTTTTCTTGGAATAAACTGCTCAATGTTAGTAAACATTCCCCAGGCCTTAAACTGAGAGTATACGGGAGCGGGGGGTTTTTAAAATAACCAAGGAAATGTTTGATACTGACAACATTGGGAATTTTTCGATTCGTACATATGAATATCCCCAGAAAAAGGAATTTGTAACATTTTTAAGTTCAAATATTTTTGTAACAAGCAACAACTACATGGATTGTAAGTGCGATAGAATAAAAGACGTCTATATTTTAATGCAATCATCTTCTTCAAACTGTCTCTTTTTCATGAAGTTTCTTAACAAGTAACATTGGTGTGATTCGTATTCTATTCTTATCTATGGCCTACGCAGAGACCGCATCTGATTTGCCCTCGGCGGGAGAGCTATATTTTGAACCCTCTAATCCATCTGATGCCCAAGTTCACTCATATGGCTGGAATCATCCTTTGATTTATTCGTAAAGTTCATTGATACACCGCTGGTGTCCACGGCAAGTGAATCAGGATCAGAAGATTGGATGCGACCCTCGTCAGCGAAAATTTCATCAGAAGGATCCAAAGACGGAATGGGATCTTCAATCGTTAACAGAAAAATCTAAATTCAGAATGGGATTACAAAGGGTTTATTCATATTCGAAAACATGAGCTTATAAAAGATATATGTATGAGATAATAAGGAAAAAAAGCAAGTTATTGGACAAAATTTGGGGTCGAAAGAGCCCTAACTTTATATTCTTTTCAATCGTTTCTGGTTTTCAGAAAAACTGAATGGTAACATTAGTTCCGGCTGATGCAGCAGATAGGTTATGATTCATGACAGTATTATAAATCTTACCCGAGGTCGAAGCTAGAACCGAATTTTGATCCTCTTGGACACTATTTTCCCCATCAATAGCATCAGGCTTACCAAAAGAATATGGAGCCTGGAGGGTCTCATCAATTGCAGCTGGTAACTGGTTATCAGAAAAAAGTGAATGGTAACATAATTATTATTACATTAGGCTATGATTAATGACAGAATTATAAAACTTACCCGAGGACGAAGCTAGAACCGAATCTTGATCCTCTTGGACACTATTTTCCCCTTTAATAGCAGCTTGCTTATCAGATGGATTAAAATCCGAAATAGTATCACCAAGTTGTTACAGGAGAATGGTCCGGATTAAGGGCGGTATTATCAGCCTCAACTAATGTAGATGCAGGAATCGTATCTTGTCTCTCCTGGACACTTTTTTCCCCATCAATAGCAGCTAGTTCATCAAAAGGATTAGGTGTCGCCACTTTTTTAAAAACTTTCTTTTCATCATTTAGTGCTGAGCTAAGAAAACTCACACGTTGCTCCAATAATTCCAGTACATCGCTTAGTAATTGAATTTCCTTGTGTCCGCGCCAAGGAGGGGACACTGTCGAAATTATTCGTTAACAGTCGAGAGCAGTAATGTCCAGATGAACTCTCATCTCGCTCTCGGTCTGTTAACAGTCTCCACCCCCGCTCTCCTAGCATTAGATTTAAGTAGAGTAAGTGAGTTCTAATTTCGAAGCCACAAAGTGAAGTTGTGCAAGTTAAGTGAAATAAGTTATCTGAAATAAAGTTCACATTTAAATAAAAAGAACCCAGCGAGTCGCCATTTCCACCAGCATCCTCCAAGGGCAGAAATCCGCCAACCCCCCCAGCTTTTCAATTTTTGGTCCTTCGAGCCGGATCGATCTGCGATTTCCAGCGGCACCGGTGGATTTTCTTCAATTTCAAGAATAAAAAGATAAGTACGGTTTTACTATTTCCAACCGATCGCCATTTTGCGACTCCACGGGGTTTTTTTTCCATTTCCATTTTTTATGTACATATTCACATACGTACATTCCAAAATATATTCACATACGTACATTCCAGAAACATATTTACATACGTACATTCCAGAAACATATTTACATACGTACATTTCCGAAAATATATTCACTTACGTACATTCCAGAAAATTATTCACATACGTACATAATTTAAAATAATAATTTTACATATCCACATTTGCATATTCGTGAAACTTATACATATACGAAAATAAAATACAATACAGTCCACAACCAACAAACATTTCCAGCAAACATCCCAGCCATCCCAGTTTATGTGTGTTAACAAATAAACGCAAAGTGATCACACATATTTCAAAATTAATTTTTATCTTTGTCAAGTATTTGTTTACATAAACAACATTAAACAAGTGTATGTGAGAAATAACCAGACATATCAAGAGGGCTACGCACGACACGACGGAGCAGCAAATAAATTTAATAACGAAATACTCCAGCTCCACCTGCTTTTTTTTTTTGTAAAGTTATTTCCTTATACATATATACATATATATCCAAAGCTTGAGCAACCAATTCCACTTGGGACAGTAGACATATTCAACAAGTTTATTGTCCATTCCATTCATTCCGTCACATATAAAACGCCATATATTGGCATATATTAATATTATTGATTATTATTTATAAACATCAGTGCGCCATTCCATACAAAAAAAATAATAATAAATAACTCAAGCAATAATAAACAACTCAAGTAACCTGAGGGCAAACAGAGCATAATTAAACAATAAATACGATATTATATATATAAATAATACACCTTAAAAATTGTTTTGTTGTGTTCCAACTAACATTGTTTATTAATTCTTCCCTATCGAGTTACCAAGTAGTCATTGGCAAATCCCACAGCAGCGTGACTATTCTGGATATATACAATTTATATTTTTGATATATTTCCTATATGCTTTGTTCCAAAAAATTGCCATTCATTCCATTCCATAAATTCCAGGTTTTTATTTACTGCTTATTAAACCAATTCATATTAAAATAATTTTGGCATCAAGATCAATACGAGTCCATTGACTTTAATATAAAATTGATTCTTTTTTACTGCGAATAGGGGCAATTTCCTGATCCTTATTCTAGCATGCCCATAGGGGATAAGAAAAATTTGAAGACAACCCCGCGGGTAAGCTTAGAGCGACCACGATCAGCGTCCCCTCGTGTGTCTCAGGGTAAACAAGAACCCAAAGCGTTGATTTCCAACGCAAAAAGCGACAGCTCCTTAAACGCTCCTGTAGTTCCACAAATAAAAGTCACGCGATCCAGCGTAAAGATGGCCCAGCGCGACGCAGTTTTAGACAAATTTATTTCGATCTCTGACCGTCTGAGCACATTTGAAGCCAGAATAAACGTTTCAGGGGCTTCAGATCCTTCGGTCCACACGTGCCAAGTTCGACGTGATCAAATCAAGGCATTATGGGACAGGGTAGAGAACGAGTACGAAGTATGTTCAGACGCAATTCTTGCGGGGGGCGGGGAGGCGCATGCAATGTTAGAACTTCTGCAAGCCAAATATGAGCATTGCTATGAAGTTTACGAATCCTGTACCGCGAAACTCAGTGAACAAATTGAGCGAGTGAAAACTCAAACGGCCAACGCCAATTCCAACACCCTGCCCATTCCGTTTTCGTCCGGTTGCCGACTGCCGCCATGCGACACTGAGGTTTTCGAAGGAGACTATTTGAAATGGCCAACATTTAGGGATCTTTTTACCGCAGTTTATGTCAACAATCCTAGGTTGACAGCGGTCGAAAAACTTTTCCATCTCAACGCTAAAACTAGCGGCGAGGCTAAGGCAATCGTGTCCAAATCCCCTCTTACAAATGAGGGTTTCGATTCAGCTTGGGAAGCACTTCGAGACCGTTTCGAAAATAAGAGACTGCTAGTAAATAGCCAACTCAAACTTCTTTTTAATTTGGGCTCCGTAAATCCCGAATCTGGCCAGGCACTGAAAGACCTACAGAGCACAATCCAAGGGTGTTTGATAGCGCTGGCTCATTCCAACATTTCCACAGAGAACTGGGACTGTCTCCTGGTATTCCTGTGCGCCAGTAGATTGCCGAAACTGACCCTTTCCTTATGGGAGCAGTCCCTTTCGTCCAAGTCCGACATTCCGACCTGGGATGAAATGAACACGTTTTTTAGTGAACGATACCGAACGCTAGAGGCGATTGAGGATATGAAACCCAGCCACAGCAATACTCTACCGCTAAGAGTCAACCCGTTCCCAGGAAGCTCAACTCTTTCGAAGCCAAGGTAGTTACTAAACCAAAGAATTGCGACCTGTGCTCAAAAGAGAGTCATCCAGTGCGCTTATGCCAGCGTTTTCTCCAGATGTCTGTGGATGCGCGAACAATCTACATCAAAAAAAACAGCTTTGCCTAAATTGCTTCGCAAGAGGACACCAGCTACGTGACTGTACTAGCTCTCACAGCTGTTTCACATGCCGAGCTTGGCATCATACACTGTTGCATAAAGGCAACCCCATTTCCCGTGGGTCAACTTCCGCATGTAGTTCGTCTGCAAGCCCTCAAAATCCAGCGGTGCAAGGGGCCGCCACCGGTCTAGAAAATCCGCCCAGTGTGCAGAACTGTTTCGCAACCGGTGCTTGAGCGGTTTTGCTAGGCACGGCCATTATTGATATATGCCACTTGGGAACGAACTACAGGGCTCGTGCTCTAATAGACTCGGGTTCTGAGGCAACGTTTATTTCGGAACGCCTGTTCAATCTGATTAAGCTGCCATTCCGCCTTATCCAAGCCCAAGTTTCGGGCTTAAATCAAACCGTTTCCGCTCAGGCGACCAAGCTCTGCCATTTTTCTATTCGAGCCCCTAATAAGCCAGGCCTTTAGCTAGAAACCACAGCTTACGTCTTGCCCGAACTGGCTGGAATGCTTCCGTCGTACCCAATTCCACGAGATGCGCTGGTTAATTTACCGGCCATCCCCCTGGCAGATCCAACATTTTTAGAGAGTTCCCAGATAGATGTTCTGATCGGAGCCGACATTTTACCGTCCGTGTTGCTGAGCGGCACGCGCACCAACATTTGCGGCTCTCTGCTAGGACAGGAGACTATTTTCGGCTGGGTGCTTACCGGCCCAGTGTCCAATGCATCAGTCCAAAAGCGGGTAGCAGCTTTCACGACTCAGATAACCGAAACAAGTGACAGGGTCTTAGAAAAACTTCTCACTAAGTTTTGGGAGGTGGAGAATATACCAACAAAGAGGGTAAAGGAATCCGATTCCTATTGCGAGACCAATTTTCTCCAAACCACCACTAGAGACGCAAGCGGGAAATACGTGGTAACGTTACCGTTTCGCGAACCCGAAAATTTCGGATCCAAATTGGGGTACTCGCGATCCCTTGCCCTAGCTCAGCTTCTTAGGAACGAAAACCGTTTAAAAAGAGACTTTCTACTAAAAGAGCAATATGACTCAGTCATTCAAGAGTATTTGGATCTGGGTCACATGAGAGAAGTTCCCCCGTCTTACGATACTCCAAACTATTATCTTCCACACCATGCTGTGATCAAACCCGAGAGCACCACCACCAAACTACGCGTGGTTTTCAATGCTTCTACCCCTTCAGCAAATGGGACAAGCTTGAACGATATTCTTCATGCTGGTCCAGTCCTACAATCTGATTTAACCATTCAGATCTTGAAGTGGCTGTGTTTCCAGTACGTGTTCAGTGCAGACATTACAAAAATGTACCGTCAAATCTGGGTCGATCCCAAGCACACGCCGTTCCAAAGAATTTTATTCCGAAACAAAGAAGGAGAAGTAAGCGATTTCGAACTAAAATCCGTCACCTTTGGTGTCAACTGTGCACCGTTTCTGGCACTTCGCATACTCCAACAATTGACAGACGACGTAGAAACGGAGTTTCCTAAAGCAACCAATATTATTCGGCATTTTATGTACGTAGACGATGTTCTGGCAGGGGCCAATTGCATACAAGAGGCTCGACTTGCTATCAGCGAGCTTTGCCACGCTTTTAACCTTGCCGGGTTCCCGTTGAGAAAGTGGACAGCGAATCAGAATAGCATACTCGAAGATATCCCTAACGAGCACCTACTCCACGATGACTTTCGCGATCTCAATTCCGAAAGCACTACCAAAACACTTGGGGTTCGGTGGAATGCGGCCTAGGACGAGTTCTATTTTGTTCCACCGCTAGTTTCGATTGAATCTACGTATACGAAGAGAGAGGTTCTTTCCCAGATCGCGAAACTTTTTGACCCCGCGGGATGGCTGTCCCCGTGTATTGTCCGCTCAAAAATCTTTATGCAAGAAATTAGGTTGCAACAGTTGGGCTGGGATGAAAATATCCCCACAGAAATGACTCAAAGATGGCAAGAGTTTTTGCGCAGCTATTCCGAGCTCAAGCAAATCCGTATTCCTAGGTGGGTTGGGTTCCAGCCAGAGGTGAAGGTCGAGCATCATGGGTTTTGTGATGCGTCGCAGAAGGCATATGGGGCCGCAAAATACTTGCGGGTTGAAGTAGGACATAATATTATGACACATCTGCTTACCGCCAAGACCCGAGTCGCACCTGTTAAAACGGTGTCCCTTCCACGGCTCGAGCTGTGTGGGGCCTTGTTGTTGTCAGAAATGATCGCAGCTATCCTTCCGAATATACCAATTTCCAATTCCGACATTTTCTGCTGGACTGATTCCACCATCGTCCTCGCATGGTTGAACAAACCGGCATGCCAATGGGCCACGTTTGTAGCCAACCGAGTGACCAAGATTACTCAGGTGACGAGCGCTGAGCATTGGGCGCATGTGCGATCTGAGCACAATTCCGCGGACCTAGTCAGCCGAGGAGTTTCGCTGCGGGATCTGGTTCATAGCCAACTCTGGTGGAAAGGACCGGACTGGTTACAACAGCCAAAAGGCCAGTGGCCAACACAGGGGCTTGCGACTCCAGTTACAGACTTAGAGCAGCGTGCTGTGAAGGTCAATTTCGCAAAGGCCCTATCCGACGATTTTCTGGAACGATTCTCCAAATTGGACAAGGCTCTGCGGGTCCTTGCGTACGTGTTACGGTTCACTCAACGCTGCCGCAAGATGCCGAGGGGCCCAGCTGAAAGAGCCCTTATTCTATATGCTCAACGTGAGGAATATACCCAAGAGCTTAAATTCCTAAACGATAAGTGTCCAATTCCAGTGTCCAGCCCGATAGCCAACCTGTTTCCATTCCTAGACCAGCACGGCCTGTTAAGAACATGTGGTCGCATTACTGCCTCAACAGCACTTCAGTATGACGAGCGCCATCCTATTATACTGCCATATAACTGTAGGCT